ACTAGTACAAACAACAGGATAATTAAAAGAATAAGAATCTTTTATTGTAAACAATGTGAAAAATCATGCTTAAATTATCATTTTACACTAGAGAAAATGCTCACGTTTTTAGCTTTTTTGCTCATTAATTCAAAAGAAAAGAAATATAATATGTGGTCTTAGCTTATCTATCTTGAGCATATTAAATTCATGTCCCACTATCCTGAAAGTTATGAAATTAGAATTCTATATATTGTCATCTCAAATTAAGTTAAGAAGAATCATACAATAAAATTTAACCAATTAAAGTTAACAAATTGACTTTAGACACTTATCAAACCTTAAAGAAATCGCAAATAGATGTTAGCTTGGCAAAGAAAACTTTTTAAAACTAAAAAACATCATTTTAAACTACATTCCTAATTAACAAATACATATAAATAAAAATTCAAGAAACATACAAACCAAATAAACAAAATCACACACAATTTAAAAAAAAAAAAACACAGAAAAATAAAACCTATCACCTCATAATTAAAAACAATGAAAAAATCAAATAATAAATTCATTACACAACTGAAAATCGTCAAAACAAATAAAATATGACTCATAATTTAAAAAAAATGAAAACAAATCAAATAACAAATTCACTGCATAATCGAAAATTATCAAAATAAACAAAACTAATATGCAATCCCACAAAAAAATAATCAACACAAATATCACCAAAAACAAAACAATTCAAATCATCATCTATATAATCTAATCGTAAACAACACAACCTCACCAATAATACTTTTATGCTTATTTTCACATATAAATGTTTTTATTTTTTGTTTTTTTAACAATTTTAAATTAACAATAAAAAAAAAGAAAAATGGTTGCGTTTACATTTGGTAAGAATGAAATTATAGGTCGTCTGACTCATCTCACAGTAAAATACTTGGAATATTTGTTTATGACGTAACAAAAAAAATGATGTGGATTTACCATCACATAAACCATAACACATACTTATCATAATCATTATTTGGGTGTTGATATATTATCTTATCTTTTAAGCATCTCCTTATTTATAGGCCACTTTTACGTGCACTCTTCTAACAACTTAAAAAACTCTATTCTTTTACAAATTTAAGTCATGAGTCGACCACTTTCCCTTCTCTCATTTCACTCATGCATTTTAAATCGTTAAAGTTTTAGCATAATCACCACTAGAAAAATGGTAGACAATGGGCTTTTAAGAAGGTTTTTGTTGTTTATGAATGATTATTTTTTTTAATTAAAGAATCAGCAAGGGATAAAAAAATTTTATAGGTTATAAAATTTAAACTCAATCCTGCTAAAATGTCACATTCTTATAAATTGACAGTGTTACTCTTGCATCAAACATCAGTGCATCTTTTTGGATCCCTAACTTATTTCTTTACAATCATTTTTGTATCTTTCCTATCTACTTGACCCATGCAACTAAAAAAAAAAAAACTTAAAAATATACAAAGACAATCACAAAAACAAAACACCAACTAACCTTCAACTTAATCCCAAATAACATTGAACAATACCTGTGCAAAAAAATAGTAATCAAACAAAGAACACAAAGTAATTTACAAAAAAACCCAATCCAACTATCATGCATGCAACTCGATCCCTAATAATACTATCGTTACACAATTTTAAACAAAAATAAAACAACATGCAAACCTTCCAATAAATATTTTACATAAATTAAAAACCAAAAAAACATAATATTGAAAAAATATTGTTTGATAAGGAAAAAAAAACCCTAAGCCTCATTTAATAATTCAGTTCCATTAAACAAAATTGAAGTCTCTAACACCAAAATCTTCCAAACTAAAGTAAAAAAAAAAAAAAAAACTCACATTCAATTAAACAACAAAAAGAATAAAATTTTTTTTATCAAAAACATATGAAAGAAAAAAAATTGAAAGAAAAATGAAAAAACCAAAACACATACCAATTCTTTACATTTCACCAAGTTTCCTTTCTTTGAAATCATCTTTAATGCTAGTAATAATGCAAAGTATAAAAGAAACATTAAAACTCGGGTGTAAAATACAACAGTCAATTAAAAATAAAAACTTTGAAAATAAAAAGAGAAAACCCACCCCAAAATCCTTTTCATTTTTTTTGCTCTCCACTCTAGGACATTTTTTCCTTTTTTTTTAATTTAAAGTTTTATTCAAAAGCATAAATAAAATAAATGTGGATGCATGTTAAAACCTATGTAAACTTGACAAAAAAAAAAGCGCACATGTCAAGCCGTTAACTCTATAAGTAATAGCCTGCAAGATAACTTTAGTATATTTTACTAAAAAATTATAATATTTTAATTAAGGTTGGTGGCTATCAATCAATTGTAAGGACTAAAAGAGGTTATTTTAATCTTTTATACTAGCCATAAAGACTTGCAAATATTTCATATCATCGATTTGTGTTTCATGCCAAATTATTTCTCTTATGAAAGAATAATAAAAGTAGACAAATGAAGAAATCAAGACAAAAACAGAGAAAGAAGTTTGTTAGATCAATAAAAATGTAAATAGTAAATAGAAAGAACCCAAAAAAACTCGTAACCTAAATAAAAACCCAACAAAACCCAATATAGGTGTAAAGAACAGAAAAAAAAAAAAGCAATTGTTAACCACTTGATCCTTAAAGGATCCTTTTTATATAAAGTAATATTGATTTGGTACTTTTTTTCTTTACAATAAGGCATTAGGGGAATAAGGGAAATTCATAGGTCAAAACTAAAATCTTATGTTCTATTTAAAGCTTTCTTTGTCACTAAGTTAAAGAGCCAAAGATAACATACTTGGTACTTAATATATAAACATTTAACAAAAAAATTCTCACAATGCGTTTGACATTTGACTTTTAATTGTTATTAAATATAATATATCTAATTACTATTTAAAAAATAAATAAATGATAAATATTAATGAGCATTTATTAAAAAAAATTAGTTAATAACAAATACATGTAAAGCTTCCCTCATCTAAACTTTTATTTTAAAAAATAAAAAATATGATAATAATATTCATAATTATCTAACAAGATGAAAAATAAGAATTAAGTCAAAATAATAAAAAAAGATTATATTTTACTATTTTAATTTGTATTAGGTAAAATAAAAATTAAGTAAATTGAAAACTAAAAGATGTACAAATAATGAAATGTACTAATATTTCTTTTTATTTAAAATAATAATAAATTGAGTAATTTGATAATAAATAAATATAAAAGTAATACTAAGTAGTAAATACTACTTTTTGGGTTATTCACAATAATAAAGTAACGAATATTGTAAAAAAAATTACGTACAAAAGTATCACTAAATTGTAACTTTTTTTTTGGTATTATTACAAATTTACAAAATAATAAATTTAAATAATCCTAAATACAAGGATAAGCTTAAATGATAATACCATTTTATGAATGATAATTTGATAATAAATAAGAGTAAGTACAGTCAAAAAGTAATAATAATATTTTTATTACCTATGATAATAAAATAAATAATTTAATAACAAATAAGAGTAACGGTAAAAAAAATATAGTATTACGTTTTTGTTATATAAAATAATAAATTAATTTGAAAGGTAATTCTTACTTTATTTTACTATATATAATAACAAATTAAGTAATTTGACAACAAATAACTGTCAAAATGTAAAATAACAAAGTATATTATTATTTTTTATTTATATATAATAAATATATTTAAAATGAAAAAAAATCTAAAATGACTACTTTCTATTATATATAATATAATAATAAATTAAATAATTTGGTAGTAGATAAATATAAAAATTAAAAACACATATTATTGTTTTTTTGAAATGATAAATTAAATAATTTAATAATATATAATTGTAAGTGTAAAACTGAAAAATAATAATATTATCTTTCAATAACAAAAGTTATAATCTTTTAATGATATTAAAAAGTAAATAAGAAAAAAGAGTTATTTTTTTCTACATTGTAAACACAGTATCATTTATCACTGATGTGGCATGATAATATCACGCCACGTTAGGAGCTCTTTGGAACATCTTGGAAGGGCGCTTACCGATAACCTTCGGAGAAAATGCCACTGGACTTCAACAATTAACAAACACGTGCCCAAGAATGAAAGCAACAGAGCACCAATTATACGACCCCTTTCCCGGACCCATGTGTAGCTGATCCGTACTCCAACTTTAACCCAAGCAATCAACGGTCAGCGGTCACCTTCAATCCCATTCACGTACCCCGTTGCCCACATATTTCCTGGCCAAGATTTATTCACCTGTCTTATGGTCAGCACCCTCTCTGCCCGAAGCTCTTTTTCCTCGACGTTACCCTATACCTTGTCTGAAATAATTATGATCATAATTGTAGCTGAATTGGTATTGACTTCAGTTAGGGTTATTTTGATTGATATATAGTATTTTAAAATTTTTTAAATTCAAATTAAATATTTTTTAAATTAAATTAAATTTTATTAATTTAATTAGATTTATTTTTTGTTATTAAATAAAAAATAAAATTTATCTATAAAAATTAATAAAAAATATAATTCATTTTGATTTGAAACTGAATTGAAATATATCCATTTTGAATTTTTCGTAAAATCAAATGCTCTATAGTTAATTAATGAAGTAGTTCCATTTTGATAGCGACAGAGCAATTAATAAAGCATTTATCCAAATATTTAAAATCTAAGATGCTTAATTGGATCTAGTTAGCAAAACAAAATGTTGATTCTTTGAATCTTTAACTTCTTAAGTTAACATTTGAAAACAAAATGTTGTCCAATTTCGAGTCCTTTTTTTTTTCCTCATCCTAAGGCAAAAAACAAATCTCAAACAAATGAGGCTACATGAACCCGAATGTACTGTAACTTTCTCTACATGCCACGTGTAAATTAAAGTCATGAAAAAAATTACAAAAATAAAAATGGAAAGATCGATTGCAATTCCTCAAGGACTAATACATGTTTTAGTATTTTCGTTTCTTTTTTTTTTTTTTTTTTTTTTTTCTTTCTACAATATTCCTCAGTATCCGAACACAAATAGTAGAGATTTATCATTTCACCTTCGGGCAACACTCTGCAACACAGAGTTTCAGCCACCTTCTCTAATTAAGGTGAATTTCGATTCTCGGTAACCCTAATTGCTTTTCTCTCTTTTCCTTTTGGTTTCAGAGAAATTGAATTTCTCCACAAACTATCGCATGCTAATCCTTTTTCTTTTCTAATCTTTTAAAATTCGAGCAATTGAAGAATTAAGAAAAATTTTCTCTTTCTATACCTCAATTTCCTATTCCGTTTGGATGTCGAGAAAGCGTGAGAAGAAAGCTGTGAAATTTGGCCATTTTCCGCTTCTTTTATATTTTTTTAGGTTTTCTTTGTCAATTTTCGTAAAGAATATTTAAGTGAATGAACAATTCTTTTCTAAATTTCCTTAAATTTCAGCCTTTTTTATTTCCTTCTTTTGTAATTGGGTTGATTTTGTTTTGCATGAGTTAACTTAGCTCATCGAATTGAGATTTCTACACTTGGAATTATTTGATTTCTTATTCTTTCTCATAACAATCTTTATGTCTCTCATTGAACTATTTTCCCCAAAAATAGAATTTTAGAACTAAATTTCCTCAAATTTGAGCCTTTTTTTATTTCCTTCTTTTTTAACTGAGTTGATTTTGTTTTGCATTAGTTAATTTAGCTCCTTGAATTGAGATTTCTACACTTGGAATTATTTGATTTCTTATTCTTTCTCTTAACAATCTTTAATGTTGCTCTTTGAACAATTTTTTTCCCAGAAATAGAATTTTAGAATTCACATAATTCCTAGGTGATTATTTTTCTGTTGTGGTCAAATTAATAACCGATTGATAGGCAATGAGCAGATTAAGAGGATGGTTAAAAGTGTGGAAGGGACTGATAGAGATGACTCTCTCGCTTGTGGCAAAATAACAAGAAAATAAAAAGAAGCTTGAGCTTACTTATTTACAAACTTTCTCATAATTTTATTGCTCTTTTTGAATTCGTAAACTCATTTTGCATAAAAATTGCTTTTTTGTTAGTGTTCTAGACACAATGGTCCAGTTGATGAGCTGCTGAATTAAAATTATATGGAAGCTTTAACTCAGTTTTCAGGGGACTGTTGAATCACTTATTTTATAAATTTAGTTTATTTTGACTTGTAGGTATAATTATCTGGAATTCGGGGTTTTTTCTGCCGTGATTTGTAAGAATTAGCAATTTACTAAGGTGCTGTTTGACTGTTACTTCTGCTACTCTTTTTTTCCCTTTGGGAAGTAAAATGTAAAAAGGTGTTTTGGATGCAAAAGCAAATAAATCTTCGTGAAGAATTTAAACTTAAGAATGTGACTTTTTGGAGAATAAAAACATGATTTTTCTTTAATAGAGAATAAGTTTGTTAGAATCCATGTTGCATTTTAGCAATTTTTTTCATTTTTAATCAATTATGAATTTTCTTTCTTTTTTCATTTATTTTTGATGATGCAAAAGGTAAGTAGTAGCAGTAGCAAAAAAAAAAAAAAGCCTAAGTGACCACTTACATTTATTTACGGTATAGCTATTGGGTGTCCTTATGCTCTCTGGAGCAAGCTCATACCGTTTCTATAGCATGCTCATAATTTGTAAAACTTTTGATTTCCAACATTTTATTAAAATTGTTTTGAATCTAAAAGATGTCAAGAGAAGCTCTCAAAAAATACCAATATAGACTTTAATTTAAATCTAAAGTCCACATAAACTCTAGCTGTCCTGGTTTGATAAAACTGCTCTGATTCTTTATGCTGCCCTGACCTTGATTCTGTTGGTTGTGCTGCCAGATTTGAGTTTGCAGATCCTCTCCTCACAGCAACCTCATGACTTCCTCTGAGCATGATATTTCTGGTATTTCTTGTCAAATGCTTTGTCAACTTCATGTTTTATGGTACCACTGTAATCATGTTCTAATGAACTCTGAGAATGGATAAAAAATTGAATATATTTGTGGCATTTTCCATTCTTGAATTTGCTTTTTTTCGGGGTGTTTAATTGAGGTTTGATATTTAAATAATGAGATTGAAAGGACCTTTTCATTGTGATTTCATATATTTTGCTAACACCGTGTGAGGGTTTGCCCTGTGTAGTATGGTTGCATAATGGGTTGTTTACTGGGTATTTTCAGGCATCATGATTTAACTTGGTTGTCACTTTTTGAGCCTGGACGCTTTCTATCTTATTTGTCTCTGTGCTTTCATTTTATGACCTTGTTCTGTGATTGCTCTTCGTTTTGAAATTTAAATTAACAGCATTCTATTAGGTGTTTCCCCATTGTTATTACATTTATTGGGGTGGCTCCTTGTGTTGCTATGTTATATGCGTGCAATACTAGGCCATTTGGTGGGTACCGTTGGCAGCATTGTTTTATTTTACTTGTCATTATTTGTGTTGTCTGAGTGCTTTTGTTTTATTGACATTGTTTGGTGGCAGCTCTTCATTTGGAGTGCTCTATTATTATGGTGTTGATTTGAACTAACTTGCTTTTGCCAGATAATAATGAAGTTGATGAGCAGCAAAAACACTCAGAGTCCCAGGACCAGTCCTCATCTCCTGCAACAGGACTTTCACCCTCTGCCATCACAACCCCAAACATCCCATACACGACACCTCAACATGCTGTGGTACCATCTTTAGAGTAAAATCTTTTTCAGCATTAGCATTTATTTTCATATTTGCATTCTCTTTGAAGCAAGTTTCCACTGGTCATTGTTTTGAGGCTAGGTCATGTCTTAACCTCTAAATGTTGTCCTAAACTAGTTGTGATCAATTAACTATCATCAAAGAGTCATTTAAATTTCTTGGCCTTGCGTAGCTTTTGCAATTTGCTCAATCATTTCAATCATCTTTTCGGAAAATTATTTCACAATGTTATTACCTTGTTTACTTTTTATTTTATCCAATTATTTAATTCTAGAGCAACTTCTTGAAACCCCCTCTGGTTCCTTACAGCTTCCCTCTTCATCACAATGCCTTCACCAAGATATTTGATTTGGGAGTTGTTTTGTACAGACATGTGAAAAGTAGCCTACAACATATTCTGGTGGAGAATGTTATTCCTTGCTCTTGTTTACTTCATGATTTACAGTGACCATTTATATCCAGGGTAGACTGGATCTAGGACTGAAATACTTAGTTATAACATGTTAATGTCCAACAAGGCCATAAATGTATATGCATTTAGTCTAATACAAAAGATATTATATGAAAATCATTAATTATTTATTTTCATCCAACCATTTCAATTGCATCAAATGATACGTTCACAAAATCTCTTGATGCCTAAGTTAAATTTTTTTATCTAGTTGTATGAAAGTCCCTTCAGATAGCGCTCTCTCTTAACATGATATAATTGGATCCTTATACTCAAGAACAACAAAACATTATTTTATGTTTGTGAGAAAAACATTTCAAAAGGAAATTTTTATAACGTAAATTAGATTGATCGTTAGATCAATTAAGTTGTTAAGATGGTGATGTTGTCAATGCACAAGACTCCTCTCCTGTTAAGCAACTGGATTTTCCTGTGGGTTCTTGCAGTGGGAGATGTAAGAAAAAAACATGAATGTACAGGTAAAAAAGGTATAGTAGAGAATCTTAGTTAAATATAGAGCTAGTACTGGTGGATTTAGAGAATAGCAAGTGCTGTCTGCAGTTGGGATATTTAACTTGAAAGGCTAAATTGCTGAATATGAATATACATAGACTTTGTTCCCTCTGTTTGGACAACTGATTAGATTTTTTTTTTCTTTAAGTTCTTGACCTTATGGGGTTTTGTGAGCTGGTTGTGGAAGTTGATTGTGAGACTGCAATGCAACTGTGATCATGTTAGTCGAGGTTATGTAGTTAAGATGCGGTGAAGTTTGGAAGCATCATTTTTGCAATGGTATCAATGTGTGTATGAGGTTGTAATAGCAGTTTTAATGATCCAAACACCACCACTCCCTCCAACCAAACAATGTCAAGGGAAGGGAGGTGGAGGGGGCATCTCGTAGTTCTTTGGTTTTATTTAGTCTTATTGCATTTGTTAAACTTTTTCAGTGGTCTTCTATAGCTGGATCAAATGTTCAATGGCTTCAGCAGATGATTTCTTTACCTGGAATTAGGAGATTCAAATGCTGGTCATTGTGCTGTGCTAAATTAGTTGTGTCTCTTGTCTACTTGTTTCAAGTTAGGCTCAGATTGGATTTTCATGTATTTATATTGTTTTGCGATATATATCAAAACTGTCTGGTTGTTGGAGGCATCAGTGAGAGTAATTTTTACCTCCTAGGCTTGATGAGTTTTATTTGCAACCAATGGTTTTGCGATTAAAAGAAACGAGTATCTGTATGCTGAATAAAATTTTATTTGCGGTCCTATGGAAATTTTTGGAATACAAGAATGATTTTGAGATGGTGCTGTTTACTGTCTGTTGAGGGGTGATGGTAATACCATTTATTCACTTGATGATTGTAAATTTAGGAGATTTAGAACAAGTGTTTATAAGGTTTTTCCTTTTAAAAATAAAGTTTTGTAGTAAAAAATTCTGATGATACATTTCTGTGGTCTCAATCAACTATTTAATTCCTTACTGTGTTACTCGTGCTATTGCTTTGCACTTAACGATGGCACATTCATCTCTAGCTGTCTGCATCCCGGAGCATAAGGTTTTGGCTATTTCTAAAATACTGCACATACACAAGGACCAAGATAATTTGCTTAGTTGTAGTTAATGAGGTCAATACACTTGGTTAAACTCCGAACATGACTCTTCCTGGTAACTCATTAATTTCTTTTTTTTTTTAAAGACCTTGTAACTCATAAATTTTGTTTTGTAATAATAATGTACCCTTTCTGTTAATGGTATTGAGTCATCTGAATGGTATTCATTGTTTCATTTTTCTTTCTAAAGATTAAATGGCTATACTGCATGTTGGAACATTGACCTCTAGCAGACCTTTGGTTCACAAATGCAGTCACTCACACTAGGTAGCAAGAGTCAAACTTGGGACCTCCTAGGGCCTAAACATGTACTACTATTGGACCAAATTCTCATTGGCTAAGAAAAATTATTTGCTTGAGAAATGTTGTGTTTATTTCTTACCCAGCTAATACAATCTTAAATTTGATAGAAAACTTCTCAATCAATGTTGTGGAAAACCATTTACGATGTTGGTGAATTTGCTTATTCCCTTTCAAAAAGGAGTTGATTCTTTACTAAATAAAACTTGCTGTGCTCTGTGCTTTTTGAAGGTTGTGGTACTGTTTTATGCTTCTCATGATCATCTTCAATTTTTCTCTTTGTCCTGTTTCTATAAAAGCATTTTAGTTTGGTGCTGTTGTGAGTCTGCATTTGTTTTAGAAGGTTTTGCATTGTCCAAAATGTTATTTCTTGCTGAAAGTTGTATAACTGAACCAGTTGCTAACCTTTGACCTAGATAGGTATAAAAAATTTTTAAGGATCTCTGATACATTTATTTGTTTCCTTGGCTTATGAAACTGAAGGCACCGGCTGCTTACCCCTATCCAGATCCATATTATAGAAGCATCTTTGCTCCTTATGATGCCCAACCCTATCCTCCACAGCCCTATGGCGGTCAACATATGGTATGTGGGCCCTATTTTTAGTCATGCAATTGTAATTGCGGTTTAAGACTGAAGTTGGCTTTTTTCTTTTTTCTTTCGTTTTAGGTCCATCTTCAGTTGATGGGTATTCAGCAAGCTGGAGTTCCTTTGCCATCAGATGCAGTTGAGGAGCCTGTGTTTGTTAATGCAAAACAATATTATGGCATCTTGCGACGTCGACAGTCTCGTGCAAAAGCTGAATCAGAGAATAAAGTTGCCAAGTCTCGGAAAGTACGTTAAATTTTGGTTTTATGATTTTCTTTTTTCAATTCAAATGTTTGCATTTAGTTTTGTAGTATTGACTCATTCGTTGCCACTGCAATGATTTATTGATTTTGCAGCCATACCTGCATGAATCCCGTCATTTGCATGCATTGAGACGGGCTAGAGGATCTGGGGGTCGCTTTCTCAATTCAAAGAAAAATGAAAACATACAGAATGATGCTGCATCAGGTGATAAATCACAGTCCAATATCAATCTGAACTCTGATAAAAATGAGGTAGCTACTACAGAGGGCACCTCTTGAAATTTTGGAAGCAAATGGTTATACATACAGTGGTCTTATTGCCAACAACCAGAGAAAATAGGTTCCACACCAGTAACATAGTCTCGGTTTTGCTTCATTCTAGCTCTGTACTTACAACTCAGTAGTGTGTATAGATTTTCAATTATTAGGCAGGACCATAGGGAGGTTGCTAAAATGAATGCAAGGAAGAGTGTTGTTGAAGTCCATTGATAGTTCTCCTGCACATTTTTCCTGAGGGGCTGATAGTTAAGTTTGCTGTGTGGACGTCTCTTTGCACTTAAATACTATGATAGGACAGAAAACTGGAGTCGTGTTGATTGGTCAGGTTGATTTATGTTTGAATAGTCTAGTGAGGTTTAGATGTTGTTGCAGTGTAGTATTAGCCCTTTTTATTTTTCTATTTTTATCAACTTGGATAATAATTTGAAATGTTTTAATTTATTTGCAACTTATTTGGTGTTTTATGTTTGGGCATGGTTGGCATGGGTTAAAGAGTAAATGGAAGTTTGTTGTGGGTGACACGAAGAATGAGACATATGAACGTATTTTGCTTTTGTCAAGAATGAATAAATGGCCAGCTTGGGGTGTGTTATATTTGGAAGTAGAGGAGCGATGCCTGCCTTAGTGTCATGGTCCTAGAGAGAAGAGAGGAGTCGTGAATCTTAAATTAGATATAAGTGTGCGTGTCACCTGCAACTTGTGAAATGTATTTTTCTTGAGACAACCGTGATCCGATGGGTTGAATGAAACAATATCTCGTAAGTTGTAGGGCCTATGATTTTTGGTGCCAAATCGGTTTTTGAGTACCGGCGATATTTCACTGAGGATGATAGACTCTCATCAGAGTAGGAGGATGTCATACTCTTGGAGAGGTGCCATAAATTTTAAATAGATTCTGCGTTAGAGTTAGTATTGGGATATAAGTACTTGTATCACTTTTAACTTGTGATATATAAGATAAAATCATAAAATTTAATGAACCAAAGCAGATAATACTTCTAAGTCACTGTTGTAAGTTGGCGTGTAGAGTGATTATGACCGATATAAAGTAAAGCTGGTCCAAACTGTTTACTCCAAGGGTAGGTTGAAGTTGAAATGGGTTAATTGCGTTCAGAGCAGGTAGTTCGGAATGTAGCCATAGCCAGTGAGTCTTAGTGTTAGGCGTTGTTGCTCTATCTAACTAGATTCTAGAGCGAAACCTGCACGGCTACCCCCAAAAGTGGTTCCTTCAAATTAACATCGTTAACTTTGAGCACTAAAATCTAGTTAGCTATGAAACAATAGTTATAAACTCAACTCAAATTTATTTGGACATAATTGGTAATCATACTTCTCCAATATAATTGGGTAGTACAAATTTATTTCCCTAAATTAACTATGAATTTGACAACATTTTCGATGTATATCTTCATTAATATATCACATGAGAAATTTTGTTCATATTTAATCCTAATTTTATATATTATTTTATTTTCATTGTTTCTGATAATTCCATGCTCATTCTCTCCCCAAACTTGTCTGTTGTTGGGCCTGAATAATGGAGAAAAAGGGAAATAGTCTTTTGAAAAAATTAAAAAAAAAGAGGTCAAGAATATGTCCTTTCATGTTGACATTGTCAATGATTTTGATTTTGATTTTGGTTTTGATTCTTTAAACAATATGATATGTCCCACCCAATTATATATATGATCTCTTCATGGAAGGGTATATGGAATCTGCTAAAATTCAACCCTTGTTCTGTTTTTCATGAGCTGAATCATTTCAGTTTTGCCACAAAAATCATAAAGGGTTTCTGAATTTGTCTCTTTTATGGACATTTTTCAACTTCATGTTCTTTCTTTTCTTCATTTTCTCCTCCTTAATCATCACTCCATCCATTAATATTGTTTGAGCCCTCATTACTCATCACCACATTTTGTTCTACTAACCCTCAAACAATTTCCAATTGCAGACAAATTAGACAATAGAGACAGAGAATTAAGGAGAGAAATTGTATTTAATTTTGAACATCAATTGAAGTTATGAGATTTTGAAGGTAGTTGTGAAACATTTCTTTGAATTCCATACATATAAATGGAAGTTTCTTCCAGCTGAAGGGAAAGGATTTTGTGCAAATTTTGTGGTTATTTCTTTCTTGGCTTATCGAGACTTTTGCCGCTTCTTTTTCTCTCTTTCCCTCGGAACATAATTCCATGCAAGAAACTAATATATTCTTGCATGGATTTAACCTCAAGGATGTCATCATTGCAAACAGTACTGCCCTTTTTATGGGAGATGAAAACAAAACTCGATTCAATTCCGCCAAAAACAAAGCATTCGGCCTGCAGTGCATGCCATTATTATCAATTCTTAAGTTTTTGTAGACAGATCTGTATTTAGCCATCACTTACAAACCCAAAATTCAAGGACTGAAAATGATTTGTCCATAATATTGGATGAGAGTTTGCCAAGATATAATATAAAATAATAATATAATGCAACATCAATGAAATGGGGTGGAGCTTTCTACTTAAAAAAAAAACACACACACATATATCTATCTATATATATATATATTCTATTCATTCCGTAGTGTTATGCCAAGCTATCTACGGGGATAAAAATCTAAAACCATAAGAAAAGAAAATCGGATGATAACAAAGGATTAAATTTTTTTTTTTTTTTTTGTGTTTTAACGCATAATTCAATATTCAGTAAAAAAATCAGAATGAAAAAATGATAAAAGGAAAACAAAGAAATTAAAGTTTCAATTAGTTTAGAAGTACCTTTCTATTTATACCTATATGACAGGGAATTTTAAGCTTAGGTGGCCTGAGCTCGGTGTAAAGAGGTTAAGACTAATGTCATAGACTTAAATTGAGTTAGCAGTTGATAGTTTAGTTGGAAGATGACAAATCAGTATTCGCATTTATTAATAGCTGATCTGTTAAAGTGAGCGAATTTATCTAAAGCTTAAAATTTCAGATCGATCCAACATATTAATTCAATTGAAATGATTAAATTGCTCCCACTCAACAATTAACTTAAGAAGAAAAAATATATTTTACCTTTTAAATGCCAAAGTGCCGCTAACACATAGCTTGATCTTTTAATAACAGAGGTCAAGATTTAGGGGAAACTGGAAAAGAGGAATTTCTAATCTCAGCTTTTCAAAAATCTATTTTTAAAAATTAACAAATCATTTACGTTAAACCTCATATTCTGATTGTTTAAATATTATATATAAGAGAAATTGAAGTCCAATGGAGAACAGATATGATGGCATAAATAATAATAATAATAATAAAATTTTCTTGCCAAAATTACAGCATAGAATTAGATAAAAATAATCCTAGACAAGCAATTCAACATTTCAGAATATTACAGCAAGGGCAGATGAAAGGGACATCAATGAATGTTAATCTTCCCTTAATTAATTAAAAACCCTCGTATATAGTTATTTATAAGTAAGGAGAAGTGAGAAACAAAACTTTTCATTACTACCACAAAAGTGTAGCTGAATTTTCAATACGAATTGGTTTAAGGTTTAGGAAAGATCAAATTTTCACAGTTTTTTGTTAGTAAATAATTTGTAAGTTTGAAAAAGTTTTAAAAGTCTATAAATTTTACTTATAAGTTGATGATTTATCTTAACCTTAAAGATTGGATAACCTTTCTATTTCTAAATTTTTTTCGATTAAAAAAAAAAGTTAGGCTGAATTGCTGAAAACATAAGAGCATGCATGTGCTATATTTGGGTTTTGGCTTGCTTCCTGGCCTGCAACTGATTAATTTGAATACACATTAATAGGTAAAGATGCTGCATGTTTGTTGGCAAGGTATATATATATCATTGTCATCATCAGTATTAAGCCCCCTATGAAATCCTACCTTCCTTTTTCATGTCCTTTTCTATAGCATTTGACAAATAAAATTCATACACATTAATACCACTTCTAATCATAGCAAGTATTATATGAAATTTATGCCTATTTATATATAATGCATTCCATGCCATAACACAGGGTGTTTTAGTCTTAAAAACAAAAAAAAAAAAATTATAAATCACATATTAATTGTGTTGTAAATTTGATTTTGAAAAGTGTTTATATCACTTTTATTTTGTAAAATATTTTTTATAAAATAAAACTATGAGAGCACCTTTACACCTCTTATCATGCATATCACATGTGGCCCCCAACACCACCTCACAAAATACAACATAAAATAAAGGAGTGAGAAATGTAAGATGGAAGCAAAGGAAAGCAAAGCAAAAGGCACAAAAATCTAGAGTCAGAAATGTGCATGGTGGTGTCAAATTTATGGAGGCTAATTGTTCACTAACATACACTATCTTCTTTATGCATGACAAAAAATGGGGTCACCCTCTCCTTCAATCCACCGAATATTTTATTAATTTTTTTTAACTTGAGTTAAATAGGTTGCTGCAACCGCACGTCAAGGACAAGATGTGCGTTTTAGGATTACTAACTACGTTTGAGGTAGCAGCAATGAAAAAGAACTAATTTAAAGGTTATTTGATTAGGTGATAGAGATTGATTTTTATAAATTAAAAATAATGATGGTGGTAAAGTTTTGTGAGATTAAATATTACAATAATAAAATTAAAATAAATCAAAAGAAAAAAATACGTATTTAAATATAAATATAACGATAATAATAATATTTTTATAGATATTATTTTTATTAATAAATTAATTATATTTTTTATATATTATAAATAAACGCTTCTAAAATTTTTTTTGAATACGCGGTTATCCTTAAACGGGGCTGGAAAGAGACTCTCACTCCCTTATTTATGCAAATTTTGCAATGTCACGCAATGTAAAAGTGATAGATATATGGGAACACGGGTGAGTGGAGGTGCCCCTACGTGGGGTAGACCATGTCCTAAATCCCTTGTCTGAGTGCCCTTTCCCTCTTCCAAAAGGTTAAAAGGAGGAACGACGGAAAGAGCTTCATAATCATACGGGCGAGGGGGAGACGACAGACAAGAAAATGCCAAGCGAGTTTGTTTAGCTGTCCGTTGTTTTTTTATTAAGTGACGGATTCAAAATCTCTCAAAAAATTTTAAGTAAATTCATTAATTTTATCATTTTTTTTTAAATTTAAATATATCCATAAAAATATTTTACTCAAAGGATCTATCTATCTCTGCTTTCAACTTTATGATAACCCATTAAATATACGAGTAGAGAGATACAGTGAGGAACAAAAAAAGCAATTGACTTTTAGATATCACAAGGTTGACATTTGTCATAAAGTGTTTGTTTTTCTCTATCTTTAAAGCATCCAAAGCGGAAAACACTCTTGAAATTTTTATCTCTTTGGATTCTTCTGACTCAAGGTATAGACTTGGTGGGAAACACTTTCATTTGTACCAAAAGGTTGGTTGGTGATGGTCCATCTTAGCAACAAAGGTTTTATACTAGCCTTTTCCTGTTTAAATTTAACCATGCTTAGAATATATATCTACAAAATACATTTCTATATTTATATTTCAATACTCACTATTCATCTATTATAAAGGTTAACTTCGTTAATATTGAAAGTAATGATAACAGCGAGATTGATAATTATAATAATAAGATTAAGATTGCAAGGCAAGATTATAATTAAAGTTAAATGACAGTTTGGTTAAATAAAATTGATTATAATGAGATTATATGTCTGTTTGGCAGCACCAAAAGGGCTAAGATGTCCATGCATATTTTAAAAAATTATAACATAAGAAAAATTTGAAAAGGAAATATTTTCTGGATACTAAAATTTTTTCTCAGACATCCCAAAATTATAAAATAAGAAAAATTGAAGAAAATTTTTCATGGATATTCTAAAATTTTTTTCATACATATTTTTTTTGTTAATAAAATTAATAAATTTAAAGATAATTTATTATATATTATAAATAGATATAAAAAAAAAAGGAACCACCACTAAAAAAGAGTCTCCTTATTGCAGTAGATTGTTTGAACATACACATCAACATTTAACAAATATTAAATTGTTTTACATTTTATTTACTTACATAAATAATATCACGTTTTCTATTTACATTTAAATCATATTCTTTAAGAAAAACAATCTTATGACGTAGCGTGGTTTAAAATCTAATACTAAAAAAATAAGGAAATGAATTTGGTCTGGACTTGTAAAAACAGATACAGATAGTAGAGAATGCATTGACAGATGAATACCTGTTGAATATCTTTATTAGATCCAAGTCATGGGTTGGCTCTTTTATTTGGATCCACATTGAGGAGAATGTGTACATATCCAGTATATTAATTTTGTAGATTTTGGAAGAAGGGTGGAGTGTACACGTGGTATCTTTCCCTTCCTCCAAAAATATACTTTTTTTGTATTTTTAATTTATTTTTTATTTGATAAATTTTATAAAAAAACTCAGTTGAAGTATGGATGATAAAATA